TGGTCTCAAACATTTGAAAGCCATTGCTCTACAGGACCCATGCTATTCCTAATACTCTAAGAATGGTTACTGACGAAATTAATGAGTATGAAATATCCATGAATTACAACTTCAAAGGTTCAAATTTGAAAGAATATAAAGTATAATGCCTATTTGGACAAAAATAAATGGATTCTGACCTACATAAAGCTGTTGGGGGAAGGAGTAGCAAAGAGGAATCTAAATATTTTCTATTGTATTGCGATAGACTTTCTCCTCAATAACTAAAATGTGTTTATATTTAAGGAAGATTGCATCTCATTTTGACTAAGTTCACTTTGGAAAACTTTTCTCATTCACTAAAAACAAGTCATGATTGCTAAGTTCTGCATCTTTAAAACACTTGGTATAGGTAACTCCACAATTCATGAAAGGATTTTCAGAAACACCATGAAAGCCTTTGTTCAAGTTCTTTCTTTGCCCAAGATGCCTCTATGCCCTGCCAATGCCCCACCCCCACCACATGTAAAAGTTCCATTCATCTTCCAAGGCTTAGTTCAAAGGCCATCTTTTCCTTCGAAGCCTTAAAAAAACACACACATGCAACTCAATTTTTCCTCTTTCCTTCCTCCACCACCCACCCCAGTCCTAAGTGTGGTCTTTCTCTCTTCTGGATCAAAGATGTTGAAAACAGCCCTGGCTGGCGTAGCTCAGTGGATTGAGCTCGGGCTGTGAACCAAAGCATTGCAAGTTCGATTCCCAGTCAGGGCACATGCCTAGGTTGCAGGCTACGGCCCCCAGCAACCACACATTGATGTTTCTCCCTCTCTCTTTTTCCCTCCCTTCCCTCTCTAAAAATAAATAAAATTAAGTAAATAAATAAATAAATAAAATTTAAAAAATGTTGAAAACTCCCTTTTTCAACCTTCTCATTCCCCTACTAGAAAATAATATACCAACTCACAGTTTATTCATCTTTGTATTCCTACAGCAACCAGCACAAAGTCCTGTACTTAAGAGATGATCAATAAATATTTGTTAAGTGAGTAAAAGCAGCGGTTAGCCTTTTAAAAGGAATGGTCATTATTTTAAAGGCCCTAAAGAATGGCTTATACGCCCAGCAGCTGATCAAAAGCGGGTGGAAAGCAGGAAGAAGAGCAAGAGGAACGGAGCGGGAGCCTGGGAAGAGGCACAGTTCCTCTGGATATCTGCCCCTGCAAACTGTCTGAATCCCAAAATCTTCAGGTATTCAACTCTACAGGTGAAGAGCTGTGGATCAGGTGTAGAATGAGTGTCTTCCCATGTTCCAAACTGTCCACTCTTGCTTCAAATCCGAAATGGGAAATGGAATTAAAGGTGGAAATTTCTTCTCAACTTTAGGGTTTGTCTGAAAAGAAAAGTTGAAGCCGCTATCTAGAGGTAAAAAAACCTCCCTTGAAAAATAAGTATAGGTGTTTCCGAGTTGGGGAGGGAGGGTGTGTAAAGAGGCAGAAGAGATGGTTCTTGAATTATCAACTAATTGTCTATACTGATTATATTCAACAGTACCGAGCTTTTCTCTTCATATTATCTATACAGTCGTCTGGGGACACTTTCTGTGACCACTAGATTAAGCTAGCTCAGGTTCAAACCTACAGTCATAACTAACAAAATGCAATATGTTTTATTGGAAAATAATGCCCACCAATTAGAAAAAAATTGTTAGGGATTAAAATACCATTCTTTTTTCCATTAACCTATACCTCCCCCCACCCTCTACAAAGAAAAAGTGTTTTTCAAAGATAAATTAAGGAAAGAAGTTTTTGGTGGTCTTTATTTTATTATTACATGTTTACTTTAAATATGGATGTATTTATATAAATATATTTATATTAAATTTCTATATATTTTAAATATATGTTAATTCGTATAGGGTAGGCATAATTTCCTAAATCGTGGTATTTTGTTTTCAAATTTTTAGTTTTAGATCAATATCATTCAGGGCTCTGACTTTTTCTTTCATATTTTAAGAAAACCTTAATTTCCAGTCCATCAAAATTTTGTTTTGTGATTAATTTCAGAGCCACTATCATAAACTGAGAGACATTTGCAGGACTATAAAAAATGCACTGGGTTTGAAATCAGAAAACTGAGCCTTGCAATTAATGCCTAGTTGATTGAATACAGGTTCTAGACACATGACCCTGGGCAAATTATCTGAGCTTTCCCACCCTCAATCTCCCAATCTGTAAAATGGGAATAATTGTCATAGTTGCTTCCAAGGTTGTTGTGAGGATTAAATAAACTTCCAACATGAGAAGTATTTTTTTATCCTCACCCAAGGACATGTTTTTATTGCTTTTAGAGAGAGAGGAGGAATGGGAGGAAGGGAGAGAGAGAAACATTGATGAGAGAGAGAAGCATCAATTGGTTACCTCCTGTATGGGCCCCCAACCAGGGGTGGGAGATCGAACTCGCAACCTAGGTATGTGCCCTGACCAGGAATCAAACCTGCAATCTTTCAGTTATGGGACGACACATCAACCAATTGAGCCACACTGGCCAGGCAAACATATGATGTATTTAGAAGAGTTAACTCGTAATAGATTTAGAAAAGTGGTAAATGGTAAGTGTTCACTAACTGTCCATTTGTTTTATAGTCTCAGTAAAGTTACTTTACAGCTCAAAGCCACTACTTCCTTATTTATAAAATGGGACTACTACCACTTGCCACTTCTAGGATTGTTATGATATTCAAATAAGAAAACGATGGATATGAAAACATCTGACCCACAAAAAGTACACAAATGTTAGTTACTTTGGATCACCTATAAGCTTAAAAGCAAACCATAAACTTAAAAACTTATAAGCTTAAAAGTAAACCACAAAATTGAGCTAGAAAATACCATCCAAAAATTCATCTATGACTGAGAAAACGCCTATATTAAAATACAAACTCAAGCAGTTTGGTTTATCTTTACCAGAAATATATAAGCTTTTGTAAAATGTAATTCTACATCTATAAACTAGAAACACTCCCTCAGTCAAGCCAAACTGTCCTATATTGTAAGCAAGACAGCCAACATGCTTTCATAAGCCAAAAAATAAGTTGATACATTAACTAAAATCTGATATCATGTATAGCAACTTTTAAAAAAATGATTATTTTTTCACTTCTAAAATAGTAAGTATATTGTGGCTAGTGTAACTTTCAAGTCAATTCAACAGACATTTATTGTGTAACTGTGCTCCACATAACTCACCTGGGAACTAAGGATGCAAAGGGAAACAGGCTCAAGGCCCTGTGCTGGAAAAGCCCACAGGTTATGGCTGATACTTTCAAAATATTACTCATAGAAATCATTAGGGGGCTTCAATTTGAGTCAGCAGGCAGACAAGCAGCATGAAAATATGACAAAACAGTAAGTTCTTCCCTTTGACTGAAAAACTGCGTTCAAAAGCAAATGTCATTTTAAGGCACAGTTTCTACCTAGAAACCTATAGAATTTGTGCTAGAAACCAACATTCCTAAATGTAAATCTGTAAAATAATAGGTATCTGTAAATGAAAGGCTGAAATATCCCTGGGAGCAACAACACAGTAATTAGCAACTTTTATAGAGTAATAACATGTTTCATATTCTTTCTATACTGGCTCTTTGAAGTTCCCAATTTTCCACAGTGTAACATATAAAAGTTTTATTACATTAGGGCCCATCCTCATGTATTTTATAAGAAACTGCTCCATAATGCGGTAGCTTTGTGTCAAATTTGTGACACCTGGCTTTAGAAAGATAAAAGTCACTACAAACCTAAATCACTGAAAATATACATACATCCACATATCATCTCAACAATCTATGATTTATAAATCATAAAGCAGTTTAGCTTTAAAACCGCACTTTGAATATTCATGTGCACACCACTTGGAGTTGAAGACATGTGAACTCCTTACGGATTTAACTGCACCCCCCCACCGCCCGCCCAAAAAGCTCAGCTCTACAATAAGCGATTACCAGAGGCAGAACACAGTGCAGTTAATATACTTGTTTCAGCAGATGTTCATTCCCGTAAATATTAAACAGAACACAAGTTCCTCCAGGAATAATATGCAGGCAGTAATTTTACCACCTGAACGGGACTAGTTGGAAACATTAGGCGATGATGGGGGGGGGGGGCGGGGGGCGGGGGGTGCAGTTAGAAAGATGTAGAAGCAGCCAATGAGATTTTTAGAACACCCGCAACCGGAATTAAACTGCTTCTAGCAGCTCCTCAATGTGAGAACCGGGGCACAGAACCCGGAGGGCTTCCAGGCCATAGGCACCCCGGGCTTTGAGTCCCAAACCGGGCAGAAAGGGCTGCGCGCGGCGCGGGTGGGTGGAGTGTGTAAGAGGAGGAGGACGACTGTGCAGAGGTGTGCAGAAAGGGCCCAAAGGAATTGTGAACCTCGAGGAAATGACTGTCCCTGGGCCAAGGCCTCTTGAATTCCCACACGGTGAAACACTCGCCCCGTGCCCTGGTGCTCACTTCCATCTCGGGTGGGAGTGGGTAGGAGGGGCAAAAAGCACGCAGCGGCCAAAACCCGGCGCCGACAAGCAGTGGCTGGAGCATCCTCTAAGGGCACTTTGCTGCAGCCCCAACTCCAGGGGGTCGCTCGTGTGAACCCGATGCTCTCGGAGAAGAGGGAAGGGGTTCAGGGGAGGGAAGGAAGGAGAGAGGGGCTAGGGTATCGAAGGGTGGGTCCGGACACTATTGACACGTTCTAGAAATCGGTTCTTTTTTTCTTTCCATGGCTGCGCTCTGCCCCTGGCTCCCCAGATCATCCGCCCCTGGGCTAGGGCGGGCAGCACCGGGGAGAGGAGACTGGAAACGGGGCAAGAAGACGAGCAGGCGGCCGTGCAGCCACCCGGTACGGCAGAAAGAAGCGGGCGCGGCGGGCGCCCGGACCCACCCCACCCCCACGGCGCAGCCCCGGACCCAGGTGAGGCTCTGGCGGAACCTTCGTCGTTCCCGCCCGCCCCGGAGGCCCGCGCGGGGACTCACCACAGAGACTCGAGGTCCCATTCCTGGAGCAGTGCTAAGTCGAAGCTGTCCATGGTGGGAGGTGTCGGTGTCAGTGCTGCCGCCGCCGCCGCCGCCGCCGCCGCCAAGGCTCGGGCCGCCCGCGCGCTGCAACGAAAAACGGCGCTCAAGGTGCATCCCAGCCGCGCCGGGGCAGCCGCCGCCGCCGCCCGTCCCCCTCATCACCCCCCCCCCCACCTTGGTCGGGCTCCCCTCGCCCCCCGCCCCCGACGCGCGCCGGCTGGGCAGCAGCGGCCACACTCACCCGCTCGCCGGCTCCCGCGCAGGCACACTCCGGTGAGCCGCTAGCTCGCCGCGCCGCCGCCGCGCCTGCCCCTCCTCCTCCCCGCCCCACCGCGGCCCGGCCCGCTGCCCCCGCCGCCGCGCTCCGCGCCGCCCGCCGCCTCTTTCTCCTCAGGGAGGCGCGTGTGCGCGGGCGAGGCCGAGGCGCGCGCACCCGGAGCCCCGCGCCGCGCCCGCCCGCGCGCCCTTGCGCTCCCCGCGCGGCCCCTTGGGGTCCCGCGGCACACCCAGGCCGAGCTGCTTTGCCACCCCGCACCCCTGGCGCCCGCCCGACGCGGCAGTTCCGGGACGCCTGGGGCGGCCCTGCCAGTGTGGCGGAGGGTCAGGCGGCGGCGCCGGGCGGGGGATGCTGAGCGGGCTGCCTAGCGCACGTCCCGCCGCCCGCCCCGGCCCGCCCGCTCCTCCCCGTCCGCAAGCTCTAGTTTTGCACCCAGGATCCACTTTGACCCTGCCGGGCCCCCCGGCGGCGGGGAGGCTGCTGACCTAGAGTCAGTGCCTGGAAATTCGGGACTGCCCCAGGCCCGTGAGAGTTAACTGTGCCGCCTCCAGCAGCGCCGTAAACAAACCGTTTAAAATATCTGGAGTCAGTAAGTTAAGGGAAATTAATGAGAAGCGTGAGGGTAGCTCTCCTGGCTGGACCTGCAGTTTGGCCTGCAGTGGGGGTCCCACCATGCACCAGCTGGCTAGTAGTCCCTGGGAACCAAGTTCCCCTCCTTTTATTTCTTGCAGGGAAGGGGGCAGACCTCTGGGTGTACACTGCAAACTTCCTGCCCCATCTCCAATCTGGAGAGTGTCGTCTGTCAGCTGGAAGGGTGATAGAGTGCCATTATGGCTCCCAAAAATCAAGTCCCTGTTATTGCTTCCTTTATTTTAAAAAACATTTTCCCCTTCCTCACTTTTATAGACATGCTGAGAAGCCCACATCTAGATGTGTTTCTCCAAAACCAGGAACCCTACTCAGTCTCCCACCCTCCTTGTCCTCTTGGCCACAGGTCTGGGAAACTCACTCAAGATTCCAGAGATTTCCTGGAGAGGACAGTACAGAGCAATGTAGTTAGGTCCCATCACTTGCCCCAAACTTGCCATGGAGAGGCCTTTCTGGCACTCTCCCCTTTGTTCTTTCTCAAGGAGAAGAACCACTGGTTGGGGTCCCTGGAACTCTAGACCCTTAGGTAGAGAGCACAGAGGAAAAGACCAATGAGAATTATTTCCCATTTGGAATTGTATGACAAGATGTTCATCCCTCTTCTTCTTCCAGCTCTGAAGTAGCCCTTCCTTTATTAGCATCCATAATTAATGTGCAAAATGTAAAACAAATTCAGGCAGAGTGAGTGTCCACATAGTTTGAGAAGACAAAATTGTTATTTTACAGGCTGACAACACCAGTCCCTGAAAACCTCACTCATTAGTTGAAGGTAGTACCAAGGCCACGGGAGAACAAAGAGACCCTGAATACAGGAGAAAGTACAGGTGAGAAGGGCTGTCTTCCCAAATCCCAGTCCACAGTGTATTTGAAGAGAAGAAAAAAGTCTGTCTCCCTAATATCTCCTTAGCATACGCCTTTGCTGGAAATATTTGCTCTGGCAAAAGTGAGATGCCTGAGCCATCCAGACAGCATTCCCAGGAACAAAGGATGGGGGAGCAGGGGAGAAGAGGAGGGAACAGCCCCTCTCTGGAAGAACGGCAAGTTCCACAGCCTGGACAAGGAATACATCCTGTCCCCGTGCTGGGGGCCGCAGCCAGGAAGCTGCCAGAAAGCAGACCTCCCACCCCTTGCAGAGATCTGGCTCTCCTTCCCTTCCCACCACATCTGTTTATACAAAGGAGGGCTGCTGAAGGACAAACAGAACCATGTTTACTGGGAGTCCCATCCAGAGCTTGAAGCTCAAGATACAGATTTGCCTTCACCATGAAGGCTGAAGATAATAAGTACATGGTCCCAGAAAGGGAAAAAGAAAGTGCTAGGGTATATGCAGCTATCAAAGCGGTTTACTCCAAAGGGAGATTTATATTTTAATTTAAACACTGTGCTTTATGTTAATACATGAGTGTAGGTGAACCTAAAGCAATTTCACCATGGGTATTTACATTTTTTTTATCAGAAATAGCTCCTATTTTCTGTTTGGGGCCTCTAGCCTGGGGGAAGTTGCATTACTACTTTTATTTCCATTGTATTTTTTTTGTGTAGAATATCCAGTTGGAGAATAGGGCCATTTGAGGAAACCCAAATAATAGCTGTAGATAACATTTTTACTAAGGTATCATGGAAGTAAATCTTAATGACTAGTATTTACAAGTAAAATGTAAAAATAGTTAATAAGAGCCTTAATAAGGAGATCTGTTATTATTTATTATTATTAATCTGGTTTATTAAGATGGTCCCATTATTCTCTAGCCCCTATGTATCTGTACCAAAACAATCATTTAATTTAGTTGTCAAATTTTAAATCCTTAATACAAAGCAAAAAAGGGCTTGAACTTTCTGGAATTAGAATGCCGGACCTAAAAGGGAAGCATTTTTTTTGTCTAGGAGTAAGAGATTACTTAAATTAAAAATAAAAATAAATACTGGTGTTTCCTATGAAGTTCATGTAGCATCTGTGCGCCTAACGACCTTGAGACTTGAGGGACTTTTTTCCTGAGATAGATCCAGCAGTTCCACAGACACAGAATGAAACCACAGCTCCTGAGAGCTGTGGGGGAGGTATTTCAGTGAGGGGAGCTGCTGGCTTCCTGGCCAGGGCTGTTTGTTTAGGCAAAATATATGAAAAAAGGAACTAAGGAATGAATCTTGGTGGGTCTGGGGCATGCTTACAAGTGTACTTAGCAAGGGCTCCACTCATATCCCCCAAATCTAGAATGGAAAGCCTCCTAAGTAGACCCAGAAGCAAATCTGTGGCATCCAACTAAGATCTCCTCTTGGCTACGAATGGATAGAAGAGAGAACTTACATGGCTTTATTAATTCCTTATTCTAAAGATATGGCTGCAACTCAAAGGCTGCCTTTGTGACCAGGTGGGAACTTTCCTTTTATAATCTCTCCATTCCCCTAGAAAAAAGATGTTTGGCTGAAAGCCAGCTGTGCAGGTGGTCTTGATGGAAGGAGATGGGAGCCTCCGCTCTACCTTCCTCTGCAGGGTTTGTCACTACACCTTCTCTCCTATTCCAGCCAGGCTGCAGACCCACAGGCAGTCTGTCTCCTTCCAGGAGCTCCTTGGGTGTTTGTAACTGTATCCACGGATTGCAGAATAAACCCTCTAGGCTTTCTGCTTGCAAATTACATGCTAATATGTCAAGCCCAGGATGGCTTGGGTTTTAATCCACCTAGGAGTTCTAGTGTCTTTAGGTCTTTGCCTCACCACTGGGATCAAGGCGCCTTTCTGTGTATATTTTTTTCATCATTCACCCGGTCCCGAGCAGATGGTGTGGCTGTGCTGGCTGTCATCACTCCTCCTATGTTTCCATGGAAACATGGGGCATAGGGACCATCTCTGCCTTGGGCTCTCTGACAGTATCCTCTGGCAGAGAACTTCAGCACTCTGGGCCCCTCCTCCTTGTCTGCCCACATCCTGGAGAGTTTGAGAATGTTCTTTAGCCCTGGAAGCCAGGGTCATTTCAGAGACTGTTTGCACACACTTCCCACAAATGATTGTGAACTGGCCTGAAAAGGGAGGGAAAGGGATGGGGGACCAGTACCCATATCACATGGCTGAGGCTCATTTGCAGCAGTGTGGCTTATTTGGACTATTTGCCCCTCAGCCAGCTTCCATAATGGCTGATTATTGCCCAGATGTCAAAAGAGATGCTTCTAAGGTTGTATCTGCTCATCAGGCAGCAGATATTTAGTGAGTGAAGTGTGTTACTAGCGTTTTACACTTTACTGACATTCTACTGCTCACAATGTGCATTTCTTTTTATTTGTTTTAACAAAACCAGGTTTTCCCAAGAAATGCACCTTCCTCAAAGTTTCTAACATTGTCCTGCCTATATAATTCACTTATATAGCCACTAAGGCATTAATTAGATTCAGAAGTCCATGGAAACGGCAGAGCTGGGCAAGGTCAGAGGCCAGGCAGGGTAGAGAAAAGAGCAAAGAAAATGACTCTTGGGAAAGGGTAAAAAAAAATGGAGGGAAATTTGCCATGCCATTCAAGTAGCAGACAAGACAAAGATAATTTCAAAATATGGCCAACTACTATAACACTGTCGAGAGAATTAAAGTATTGTCCAATTAAAGAGTTATTTTTTAAAAGTTGCCTGGTAGAAGAATTCCATGCACTATGTTTTTGGTGGTAGTTGCTCCTTATACTGCTGGTACAAAAGACTAGTATGTGAAGCTCGCCACACTCTTAAAAAGCATAAGAAACAAAACAGGCACAGGTACTGAAGATGGAAATTCGGGCTGCAAAGATATATGCTATTCATGAAAGTAGATAGAAAAGTATTTCCTATCGTTGACCATGTATTTTGTGTCATACTGACTTACTTGTGGGATAATCCCATTATTTGTGATGTGAGAAGATCCCCTAGTTCTATTAGCAAGAACCAAACATCTACTTAAAACTTAATACCACCCCCACCCCCCAGCTCTTTGTTGTGCTTCTTCAAGATGTGTGCTGGCCATCGAAAAAGATTCAAGGACTCTGAACTGTTACAAATAGGAGATAACAAATCTTAATGATATCAAACATTCCTATGTTATGATGTACCGGGTACTGTTCTAACTATCAACTCTATTCTTCCTGAAACCATATGAGTTGTGTTACCATTGTTCTTATCCTACAGGTGAGTA